TGCACATTTACTTTTCATACTTAAATTTAGATATTAGTACTGAGAAAAGTAAAGTTGTAATATTTAATAAAATTCGTCCACTTGTGCAAAATTCTTAGGTGTAGTTTTTACAAATAATTTATCTTGGACCAAATACGTGAATTATATTACAGAAAGAGCTTCTAAGGCCTTTAATGTATTAAAAGCTTTGGCTAGTACTAACTGGGGAGCTGATCCAGAAATATTACTAATGTTATACAAGTCTTTGGTGAGGAGCCATTTTGAGTATGGCTTCCTTTGTTTTGCATCAAATAAAAAACTAGTAAACAAATTAGATAATATACAAAATAAGAATTTAAGACTTATTACCGGCTCTATGAGAACAACTATTGTTTCTTTACAGGCTGAATGTCTTACTCCTCCTATCTTACTTAGGTTTAAATATCTGAAATTTAGGTTTTTATTAAATATTAATTGTTTGTCTCATCATCCTCTTTTTCAAAAAGTATTATTTTACTATAATAGTATGTCTCCTATATCTAACTCAGCCCCATATATACTCCATGACCTTCATGAAGTGATACGATATGATGAACAATATAATATTCACAAAAGCACACATACTTGGCCTTGTTATAAGGGGAATTATGAAAGTAAATTCAGTGATATACACATAAATATTGATGAAAAATTGAAAAGAAAAGAAGAGGTTTATGAACTTATATCTACATATGATGAATATCGACAAATTTACACAGATGGTTCAAAGTTGAAAATAAAGTAGCCTGTGCATTTTACATACCTCATCTGAAAACTGTACGTGGCCTTTCCATTCCTGCATCAGCAAACATATACACTGCAGAATGTTATGCTGTCTTAATCGCTCTTAAATATATAGAAGAACACCCACATGTATCTAATAAATGGTTACTGATCTCTGATAGCATGAGTGTCTTGAAGGCACTGAAGGCAAGAGCTTTAGATGCTAAAACGTCTTTCATCATATATGAAATCAAAAGTTTGTGGTGCGTCGAGAACAATGGCCTCTCTGACGTATACGCAAACTCCAGCCCGAGGCACAAAGGAGTGTTCCAATTTGTACCCCGGGTAGGAAAGTTACGAAGTATCAGCCGGAGAGGATACCTGCATCTCTGTCAGAAAGAGCAACGCCGGTTTAGCGATTTTCGATTTTAGGGGTGCGAGTGGAGAACGGACTGGGTTTGCTAGGGCACTGTGAAATTTTAGGGCAAACTCTAGTTTTGAATCTTTGTATAGCCTACAAATAATTCCTCTATCTTATCTTGCTCTACCCTTGTTGACTATAATATTTAATTGCTCCCTGCATGAAGGGATTTTTCCGCATCAATGGAAGTGTGCATACACAGTCCCTGTACACTAGAGGGGGTCACATACAGAAATAAAGAATTATAGAGGCATTTCTATTTTGAACACCACAGCTAAAATCCTTGATCGAGTAGTATATGACGTAATTTACTTCACGCTCTCACGTTCCTTCCCTGAGCAGCAACATGGTTTTTTACAAAGGCGATCCACCTTACGAACCTGGCAAGTTTTTCTTCTTTTGTCCTTGAAAATATGGATCAAGGTGGGCAGGTTGATGTGATCTACACTGATTTTGAAAAAGCTTTCGATCGTGTGGATCACATGATCCTGCTCAACAAATTACAAATATTAGGAATTCACGGTGACTTGCTCCGGTGAACTGAATCATATTTCACAAACCGCTTACAGACAGTCGTGATAGGTGGTTTCCGTTCGAGCTACATAAACAAACCTACAGGAGTTCCTCTGGGCTCTTACTTAGGTCCACTTTTTTACAATGCCTACCTATATGACATTGGTTCGTGCATTGTACACACAAATTATCTCATGTATGGAGACGATAAGAAGATTTTTTGTTAAATTAACACCACACATGACTGCCTATTGATACAAAAGGACCTGGACGGTTTATTTGAATACTACAAAATAAATAATATAACTGTTAATGCAGGCAAGTGCGAATGTATTAATTTTACACGGAATTCTAAGCCAATTCTAAATAAATATCACATATAAAAACCTTGGTTTTGTTCTTCGCAACTGTAAACCATTCTCGCATATGAATGCAATTAAAATGGTTTATTTTGCGTATGTCAAGGAATATGCTAGTTCGATATGGTCTCCACAGTACAATGTTTACAAAAGCCGCCTAGAGCGTATTCAATAAATATTTGTTAATCACCTTAATTTTCGCTGTCGGTATAAAATCGATACTTACACAGACAGTTGCATTGAGCACGAACTCTTATCTTTAAAACACAGGCGTATTTTGCTTGACATGGCTTTGTTATATGATGTAATAAACAGTAATATTGACCGTCCATATCTTGTCTCAAGAAACATCTTTCGTACTCCAAAATTCCGCACTCGCAATACTACATTGTTACAGACTCACTGGCATCATTGCTGTCGAAACGCTGTTCTTTTGCGACTCGCTCGACGTATAATGAACAATTTGGACACATTGACCTCTTTGCGAAATCTAAACATGTTTAAATATTACATCAAGAAAACTATTAAGAAATAGAGCAGATGAAGTTAGAATCCCATAAAATCATATATTCCCTCTTTTATTTTTTCTATATGTATTTTTGAGTCTAGTAATATAAATATAAGTACTTAATTTTATTTTATTTAATATATATTATACTTAATTGTTTGTATAATGTTAATATATTTATACATTTTATGTGAGTGTGTGCATGTACATGGATATATATAATGTAATCTATATATATATATATATATATATATATATATATATATATATATATATATATATATATATATATATTATAAATTTATCTATTCGATTGTTCTTCTTTCATTTTCCTCCAACTACAATATACCTGCCATCAAGCAATATAAGGAATACTTGTTATTGGCCATACTTTTAGTTTGTTATGTTAATATTTACTATATACGCTGTTGGTTTTCTGAATAAATTAAATAAATATATAATCTTCCCGTAAACTTCCACTGCTGAACATGGAAGGGTCTCTCCCGATGTAGGGAGGAATTGCCTTGAGCGTCACGCTTGGCTTAGGACTGACGATCGCAGAACCAGACGTGAGTACCTCTGGCAATGTTGCCTGACGCCGGTCTGGATATTTTACATTTGAAGTAAACGACTTGGTTATACTGGCATCTGTCGGAAGCCATCACATTTTTCTGGCAAACCCATAGTCGCCTCTTACGAAACCCACGGGACAAAATATGATGATGAATTCTCTTATGCTGCACTTCCACTCCAACTTCGACTGTACTGTGTGGATAGCTTGTGTACAGCGATTATTAGATTAACCCTTATGTGAGTGACAAATAAAACACCTTTAACAGAGTGACATTAACATTTGACTATATACGTTTGTTTCTATTGTACGAGCATATTTGTATTTTGTGAGTTTATAATTATTTCATTATGAATATTGGAGCGAGTACTTCTCAACAAAGATCACGTGTTCGAAAATATAATTCAACAGAATTACTAGAGATATTAGCAGAATCTTCTAGTGACGAAGGTGAGTTTGTTGCTTCTGATAATGAACATGATTATATTCCTCTTCAAGGGTAGATTCGAAATTTCGGATGTTGAGCCAGAATCAGCTTCTGAAAAAATGAGATTGATTCTTATGATTCCGATGCGAGTTTTGAAGGGGAATCGCTTGAAAATATTCTTATCGCAAAAGATGGAATGCGGCGGCAGTCTGAACTACTTCCCAGAACACAAACTAGTAGCAGAAATATTATTCGTCAACGGGGTGGGGCTGCATTGTTCAGCAAACTTTACGATCAAATGGAAATATTCAAAAATATATTGTCCAATGAAATGTGTGACATAATCTTGAGGGAAACTAATCGGAAAGGGACAAAGATTACTGAAGCATACAATAATAAACTGATGGAAAACTATCCTGATATTAGCAAGCAACCGAAACAAAAAGTATTCAAACCATTCACAGAACAAGAATTGGATGCATTTTTTGGTATTCTAATTTCCAGTCACCTACCATTATTTCGGGCTGCGATGTCCCATGATAGATTCAAAATGCTGCTACGCTTCATAATATTTGATAATGATGTAACGCGCCCTGAACGTTTGTTAGCTGATAAAGCCGCTGCTATACGAGATATTTGGACTATGTTCATTTCAAATTTGAATAAAAACTACAAGCCTCGTGAATGTATTACCGTTGACGAACAGCTATATGGATATCGTGGGCGGACTCGCTTTACTCAATACATGCCATCAAAACCTGAAAAGTATGGCATAAAAATATTCTGGGCTTGTGATGCAAATAATTCCTACCCCCTAAATGTACAAATATATACAGGAAAGTCAAGTGTTGGCATACGTCAAACAAATGTAGGAGAATGCACTGTATTAGATCTCGTGGCTAAATATAAAAATTCAGAGCTGAATGTAACTACGGATAATTTTTTTACGTCGCTTCAACTGGCTCATTCCTTGAATTCGTGGAATATGACACTAGTTGGAACGGTAAGAAAAAATAAACGGTTTCCTCCTGAAAATATGCAAGCACACAAGGAGAGGGCTGTTTATTCTTCTAATTTTTTTAACAGTGGTAGAGCCACGCGGCAGCTTTTGCTGTCGCACGGATGGGCCGGCTCGAACCGGGGTGGTACCACGACCTCACAGAATACCAGCGTGAAGTAGAGGTTTACCTCTGCGTTTCGCTTGGCGAGTGCAGGTGGCCGGAGGCCCTTTTTTACTGGAAATGAGGCATTCCATCTTAGTCCTCACGGGTGGCAACGCATCTGCATTTTGATTCGCAAACGAGGATAGATGTAGATGTCTAGGGGCCGCAGCAACCAATTACCATCAGGTGGACTGTGTGCTCGTTTGTCACCCTTATCCTATAAAAAAAAATAATTTCGCATTTAGCAAAGAAGCAACTGTGTGCTCTTATGCACCTAAAAAGAATAAAGCAGTAATAATGTTGTCATCAATGCACATGTCACCAATTATTGGAAGTAATAAGGAAACTGCCAAGCCAGAAATAATTTTATATTATAATAAAACCAAAAGTGGAGTGGACAACTTGGATAAGCTGTTAGCAGAATATACCGTAAAACGCAGAACAAATCGGTGGCCTTTAGCACTTTTTTACAATATCATTGACATTGCAGCTTTGGCAGCATATATTATTTACATGGAACATAACCCACAATTGGTCTCGAGTGACAGACGTAGAAAATTTTTGAAATCATTGAGTCTACAACTGTGTGGTAAAAATATAGAAGAGAGATCAAAAAATTGCATTGTGACATCAAAATTACATGTGAGATCTGCAATGCAGGACGTGCTTGGCCGAGAACTTAGGCCGTCAATTTGTTTTGGATCTGCAACTTCTATAAGTCAAACTATACGAGATTCTACAGGGCGTGTTGCAGTCGTCGGAAGTTGTTACCTATGCAGAGAACTCAAACGCAAGCAAAGAAAACTCGAAAAGCTTGCACTAACTGCAGATAACCAGTTTGTGATGAACATGCAGTAACTCGTCCAATATGTAACATCTGCTTCGAGAGCTGTAATTAATACTGTATGAACAAAGAATTTGTAATTTTTATAGAAATAAAATACTTCGACAAATGTTTATTATTTAATTTTTGTATGAAATTAAAAATACTTTCCTCATAGTCACACAAAACAAAGAGGTACCCGGGTAACTCGTTACTCGATTATGAGTTCAAAATATGTTTTGGTTTCCACAAAACATTGTAAATAGTAGACTTGGTCAAAACATTTAAAAAAAATATGTTATTTATAATTACTTAAGAGCTCTCAGGAAGTCACAGCTACATATAGGGCGTAAAACATACTTTTTTTAGAATTCGAAAATGCCAAAGATACCCGGGTACCTCGTCACTCCCATAAGGGTTAATGTAATTATAACATGGTCAGAAGAACAATGGTTCTTCTGACAATGTTATAAAATCTTTCCTCGAAAAGTGAATATGAGATATATAATTCGGAGTAATTGGCTAAAATAGCAACGTAATTTAGTACAATTATGTAAAATATTTTTTTTATTTCTTTTTGGGTTAACTGATAGAGAATGCCATAAAGCCATAAACTCCGCCCATTGTAAACCGTTTAAGGTGTCTTGCAATAAAGATACAATGACTTACAATAAATAAAAAGTTTAACTTTGACAAATAACTTTTCAGAAACTTCTGAGAAGAAGATTAAATCAAATTCTACTGATTGTAACATAAACGATGTTCGTGGAGAAAACCTTGATTTTGAAGGCCCTACTATGAAATCAAACCCTAAAATGAAAAAAGATTATCAAGCAATTGATAGAAAAGGAAAACATTTTGCAAAAATTATGAAAACGAGAATTTTGAAACAAAAGAGTGCAAATATACTTAAGAAAAAAACATCTGGGACATCGACTAAATATATTTTTGAATGTGATGGTTGTAGTAAAAAAATTTCAACAAAAGACATCCTCGCCAAACACATTTCATACAGTCATAAGACGCAAAAGAACTCTGACACCACTGCAGTTCAGACACAAGTAGAACAAACTCTAGTACCACAACAAACAGAAATATTTAATTGTGATATTTGCGAATTTAAAACATCTATAAAACGTTACATTTTGTCACATCTTAAAGCGCACGTCTCTAAACAAATGTACTGTTGTAATAATTGTGAATATAAATGTATTAGAAAAAGTGATTTGCAAACACATATTAAAAAACACACCGGGGAGAAACCTTTTTCGTGTAATATCTGTGAATTTAGATGTATTACAAAAAGTCGTTTGCAAGCCCATATGAAAATACATACTACAGAAAAACCTTTTTCGTGTAATATCTGTGAATATAGATGCAGTATAAAAAGTCGTTTGCAAACCCATATGAAAATACATACTGGAGAAAAACCTTTTTCGTGTAATATCTGTGAATATAGATGTATTAGAAAAAGATATTTGCAAACACATATGAAAATACATACTGGAGAAAAACCATTTTTGTGTAATATCTGTGAATTTAGATGTATTACAAAAAGTTATTTGCAAATCCATATGAAAATACACACCGGTGAAACACCTTTTTTGTGTCATATCTGTGAATATAAATGTCTTACAAAAATTAATTTGCGAACCCATATGAAAATACACGCCGGAGAGAAACCTTTCTCGTGTAATATCTGTGAATATAGATGTATTACAAAAAGTCGTTTGCAAGCCCATATGAAAATACATACTGGAGAAAAACCTTTTTCGTGTAATATCTGTGAATATAGATGTAGTAAAAAAAGTAATTTGCAAGCCCATATGAAAATACATACTGGAGAAAAACCTTTTTCGTGTAATATCTGTGAATATAGATGTAGTATAAAAAGTAGTTTGCAAACCCATATGAAAATACATACTGGAGAAAAACCTTTTTCGTGTAATATCTGTGAATATAGATGTAGTATAAAAAGTAGTTTGCAAACCCATATGAAAATACATACTGGAGAAAAACCTTATTCGTGTAATACCTGTGAATACAGATGTATTACAAAAAGTAATTTACAAAAACATTTAAAAGTACACACTGGAGCAAAACCTTTTTCGTGAGCTATGTTGAACCAAAAATCATAGTGTAATTTATTATTTGTAAAAATGTTTTCACCCGCCGTCTCTAGATGGCGCTAGTAGTAAGTTACAGCGCGCTAGCATAGTAATATTGTAATTTAACATAGGGTCCATTTTAATGTAATAAATTTGATATTCCCACTATCGTACTTTCGTGTTTTATTTACCTAACGCGAGTGCATGTAACGAGATCTGGTAGGAACCTGTTCATGGTCCTTCGAATTCGGTTCTAAGTGAACCATCTGTCCTTTCGCGAATTCGCACTAGAAACCAGAGGTGGATCGCCTCTGAAGGTGCGCACTGGTGAACGACTACACTAGGTCGTTTCACCAGTTGGTTAAGTCTGGTGTAGTGCCAGAAGCAAGCACGAAGTCTGCAGCCACCAACCGAGGAGCAAGAGCGACGGAGGAAGGTAGAGATATCCAAGGCAGTCGGCAACAGGATGTGATGTCATCATAACATCTCATTCAATCGCATCGTGACAGCACAGCAGTGACGTAATCGTTAACGTCACAACCAGTGACGTCACAAATCGAAGACAACAGCGGAGGTGATCAACTGCGGAACCAAAGTGGAATCTATGGTTTGAAGATAAAACTGTGAGTACAATTTTATATTCTAACATCAGTGCAATAAGTTGAAAATTTAAAACCTTTTTAATGGAAAATTTGGACTTAGAATATTTAAGATTTTTTAACTTGCATAGTAATAAAAGTGAACTTGTAAAATTTTGCATGGTATATTAACTTAGAATAGTTTTGATAAAAGTGAACGAACGGGGAAACTACGCCCGATTCTTCCGAATATACTAAGTTTCAAACACTAGTGAAATTTTTATTTTAGACGGAAAAATTCCATTCATTTCCCATTTGTAATTTTTTAGTTTGTTTAAATTTAACCAATCTATATAATGGCATTTTTAATTAAGCTCTCAAAGCTAATCAAGAATCAGCTTGGTTCGAAAGCGATTATAGAAAAGGCTTATGAAAATTTTAAAAAGTCTCCTAAAGACAGATTAGTAAAAGAATCGTACTTACAAACTAGATTAGAAAAGCTGGATGCTCAATGGCACATAGTTAATGATACACATAGAAAATTAACGGCAGAAGCAACGGACACTACTCGAAAATAGATATTTTACACATGACATGTACGAAGTAATTGAAGAAACATATGTTAATTATAAATCAGAATTAAAAGAATATATCTCAAGAATACCTCAGTAAAACCAACACCTAGTTCTTCAGCTACTTCTAACGTCTCTCAAAATATAGATAATATGTAAAATTGCCAAAAATTTCCATTCCCAATTTTTCTGGTGCATATTCGGAATGGATAACCTTTAAAGATTTATATGTGTCATTAGTTCATAATAATTCATCACTTGATAACGCTCAGAAAATGTACTATCTTAAAGCCCATCTTACCGGTGAAGCAGACCAACTGCTGCAACATATTCCAGTTGCAGCAGCTAATTACATGGAGTCTTGGTCAATCTTAAACAGTAGATATAATAATAAGAAGTACTTGGTAAACTGTTTACTGAGACGTTTTATGAATTTACCTAACATTGTAACCGAATCTTGTAGTGCAATAAAAGATATTTTAGATGTAATGAATGAAACATTGAACGGTTTAAAAACTTTAAACATAAATGTAGACACTTGGGATGCTATAGTTATTTACGTAATTTGCTCAAAATTAGATACCGAATCCTGTAAAGGTTAGGAAGTAAAAATTAGCAGCACGGACGAATTACCCACGTTGAGCCAATTGCGTGAGTATTTGGAATCTCGTTTCAGGTCTAGAGTTTTTAGATTTATATATATATATCTTCTATATATATATATCTATGCAATACCTTGGGCTAATATATATATATATATATATATATATATATATATATATATATATATATATATTAGCCCAAGGTATTGCACGCTTTTACTAACACCAATGCTATTGGAAAACAAAGTTGTTCATACTGTAAGAAGGGTGACCACAAAATCGCTAACTGTAAGGAATTTTGTAAAATTGATTATGAAAATCGACATAATTTTGTTCAAACCAATAGACTCTGCTTTAACTGTTTAGGCCGCAATCACTCTGCCAGTATTTGTCGTTCTAACAATAAATGTCACATATGCAAACATAAGCACCACTCTTTGCTGCACCCTAAGCCTACCTCAGAATCTCAAAGTAGTGAATGTTTCAAACCAGATCTTGCAGTAGAAGTCAATGCCAAGGTGTCTGAAATTAAGACATCATTAGAAATTCCCAAAACTGATTTAACCATAACAGCACATTTTTTAAAACAAATTGCAACCAATCAAATTCTGTTAGCAACCGCTCATGTTAATGTTCTTGAGTCATTCTTGTATATCTATAGAATTTTTGATCATCAAATTTCAATTGTTTTACAAATAAATGATGGTATTCTCCGAAACGTTTCCTTTCTCTCTTAATAGGGTGTATAGCTTATTTTCGCATTTTAAAATACACATTTTCTAACAAAACTAATTCATCGTCCGATGAGTACGACGTTTTGCTCGCTCTGCTTCAATCGACTTGCTTTATGAAACTGTTACCAGAATAGACCAGCGCCGATTAGCGCTAGTAGATCGGCGCCGGCTGCCGGCTTTCTTTCTGTATACGGCCTAATACCTGTCAGCATGTTGAAATTGTGTTCTGTTTTGTAGACCAAATAAAAAAAATCACGTTGGTAATTTATAAGAGTATGGTCTTTCCCCGTCGAGCTGATTCATTCGTGCTACAACTATAATATAGCTGCATTGTATCACAAAAATGCTTCGGATATGGTTTTTGTTGTCACGGTTGCTTTTAAAAGAAGCCTACATGACTGATTGATATAAAACAAAAGTAACAGAGTTTCTGATGTCATG